CATCACCTTTGTGTCTAACCCCAGTCTGCCCTTGTAGGTTCCATTATTAGTTGTCCCTGCCTTGTGTGACCCCATTTTAATAGCGTGGAGCCTCTGTGACCTCATTTTAATAGTGTGGAGTCTCTTAGGCCAAGCTGTAACAAGCAACCCAGAAAATAAATTGGCTCCATCAGAAACAGACTCATTCAGTTCCCTCCAAAGTCATGTATAAATAATGTGGGGTCCTCAGCTCTGTTGCCAACCAGCTCAGATAACTAGCAGGTGCCTGAGCAGATGCACATGTGTGAAAGAGAGGTCTTCGGTCTGGATATGAGTCCCACTAAGAGCAAGAGAAAGAGGCTTTGATCACAGCTCAATTTTAACATCCTTTTGTGTAGCTGAAATTGGGGGGAGTGGCTTTTAATGGACACAATCTGGTCCTGATCCATGAAATACATTCTCTCCTAGCAGCAGACGCCTCAGCAAGTTGGCTCCATGAAGATGATGAGGGCGATAGGACAGCACATCTTCCTGCTTTGGGGAGCTTTTCACCAAGAGCTGAGCCAGAGGCAAAGCAATGAACAAAGACAGGATTTCAATAAAGAAAACTCAAGAGCTGAATTGTGTTGAAAAGACCTTGCAAAACCAAATGCCTAGCTTTGTCCTCCAGATCTCAAAATATTTTGAATTTGTGTGTATAATATTCTTATCCACAAACTGACAAATCCTTTGCTTTTCCAAATATGTTATTATAAATATACAAATCTTCAAAACTCATTTAAAGGGAATTGACTTGTAGAGGTGGAAATCTCCCAAAAGCGGTGAATAGAAAGGGATTTTTATAACATATTGTGGGGAAGGGAGTTTGAGTTTTAAGAGACATGGAAGAAGCAATGGGGAGGAGGGCATGAGAGCAGCCTGCTGAAACACATTTCTTTTTCTAAGCTAAATGCAGAAGGCGTTTTAAAGTGCAAAGTGTAAATTTTTAAAAGTCCTTTGGCTTTAAATATATGCATGTGGGTATCTGTGAGAATGCCCTGACAAGCCAGCTCCTCTGCTTGTGCCTCGCATTCACATTCTGGGCAGCAGCAAATTATTTGATTTTACCCAATACAAGAAGCTACTAATAAAAATGGGATTGAAATAAATTACCATTATGAGAATGCTAGCTGCTGGACTTTGAGGGAAGGCAAGATCTGTGAAACTGTGCAGCATGAAAAAAAATTACAGGTTGGGCACAGTGGCTCACGCCTGTAATCCTAGCACCTTGGGAGGCTGAGGAGGGTGGATTGCCTGAGCTCAGGAGTTCAAGACTATCCTGGGAAACATGGTGGATCTCTACTAAAATACAAAAAATAGCTGGGCATGGCAGTGTGCACCTATAATCTCAGCTACTCGGGAGGCTTAGAAAAGAGAATCGCTTGAACCCAGGAAGCGGAGGTTGCAATGAGCTGAGAATGCAGCACTGCACTCCAGCCTGGGTGACAGAGCAGAATTCCATCTCAAAAAAAAAAAAAAAAATTACAGTAGGTCCCTTCTGAACATCCTGATTGGTAAAACTGCCAACTCTCTCTGGTGGAGCCAACTGTCTGCTGGTGTCAGCTGTGCTTGGCACTTGGTGCTGCTTGGATCCAGATGAGCCCCTACTCTACTCTTGCTTTTCATATCTTTTTCTTCTATTTCAAAAGACACACACAGGCACTGGAGTGTTTCCGTAACTACCTCAAAGAAAAGGGAATTCACCTTTTCAAGATGGCCAATAGCTCTGAAAAAAGTGGTTTAGGGCTCAGAAAAAATGGACAGAAATATATATTACATCTTCACAAACTCTTTAGAAATGGACTTGGACAAAGTTATGAAATAGACAAGGTCAAATTCCATTGGCATCACCCTGCCGTGATCACCTTGGTGTGCTTTCCGGCAGCTTACTCTGGCACCCTGTGAGCTACGGACCTCCTCAGCTTCTTTTCCATTCTTCAGATCCCTCTCCTTTCTAGGCAATAACAGCTGATAATGGTACAGTCACCAGACAACGAACTTCACTTGGCGGCCTTTCGAAGGAGGAAGTCTCTAATTTAATTAGAACATACAGTTTTTGAAAGTTCTTGCCGTCCAGTTGGCCATATTGGTAGGTACTGAAACCACACCAGAAATCCAGTGAGAGAGGGAGATTGGAGGAGTTGGGAGTCATGGCACTGTCTCTGTCTGTGGGCTGCTGTTCAGTTTCAATCTTGGTATTTGACTAACTTCTTTTTCTCCAGAATATACCAGTGTACTTTTTTGCTCATGGGTTTGCCAGAAACAAAAGTAACTGCTTGCTATTTAAGTAAGATAATCATTATTACTATATTAGTCTGTCCTTGCATTGCTATAAAGAAATACCTGAGACTGGGTAATTTATAAAGCAAAGAGGTTGAATTGGCTTACAGTTCCACAGGCTATACAAGAAGCATAATGCTGGCATCTACTCAGCTTCTGGGGAGGCCTCAGGAAGCTTACAGTCATGGCGGAAGGCAAAGGGGGAGCAAACACATGTTATATGGCAGGAGCAGGAGCAAGAGAAAGAGAGGGAGGAGGTGCCACACACTTTTAAACAACCAGATCTCAGGAGAACTCTCACTATCGTGAGAACAACAACAAGGGCATGCTGGTAAACCATTCATGAGAAATCTACTCCCATGATCCAAACACCTCCTATTAGGCCCCACCTCCAAACAACAATAAATTGACATGAGATTTGGTGGGGACATGGTTCCAAACCATGTCAACTAACTTTAACCAAAATGACAGTACTGCAGCAAAAATCGTGTGCCCATCAACCAAGATGGCGCCCAGCTTGTGGGACTCTCACTGCTTTCTTCCCTCTTAACATTTCCTAATGTTACCCATGTGGCTCAGGTGTGTGTGGAGCCAGCCAGCCAGCCTACCAGAATGTGGCTGGGGAAGAGGCATTTTGGTCCTGTCATTTTGATGCCAAAGAGACATCCACATCTGTATCACTAGCCTTGACAATTCTAACCTCTTTAGGGAGTTTGATTTTATATGACAAACTGTAAAGCTGTCATCCAGAATGAGCCCTGATCATTCATTCATTGGTCAGGTTAAGCATGTGTGGTGATGGTTCTTTCAATCACTAGTTCCAAGGAGTCAGCTTTTGTGGTTTTCAGGTAGCTAGGAAGGCACACATACTCACCTACATTTGTGCACACACAGAAGCATGGACACACAAATACACTTGATGGCATTGAGGTGATTGGCAGCTGCTATTGCTACAGTATTTGGTTTAACAAAAAGATTTGGAGAAGAGCAGGTTGTTAAATTTAACAAACAAACAAACAAAAAAGCCACATATTCAGTGAATTACATATCTGCTGTATATAAGATACTTTCCCAGTATTTCTCTGAACCAAGATCCAGGTCTACTTTTTTTGCTTAAACAGGCAGAACAGATGTGCTAACTTAGGCCCTGAGGGGGGGTCACATGCCAGGCTTGTGTGTGTGCATTATGCATAAGTCCTAAGTCTTCTAAACAAACTTCATGGGCTACTAGAATCACATAAAGTATATTTTAGCTCAATGCCATTAAGTGTGTCTGTGTGTGCATGCTTATGTGTGTGCATATGTGCATATGCGTGCTTGGTATTATATGCTGGGAAAACTAAAAACTGATGGGGGCCAGGCACGGTGGCTCACGCCTGAAATTCCAGCAGTATGGGAGGCCAAGACGGGAAGATCGCTTGAGCCCAGAAGTTTGAAAACAGCCTAGGCAAAAAAGTGAGACTCCATCTCTACAAAAAAAACAAAATTAGCTGGGCATGGTGGCACATGCCTGTGGTCTCAGCTACACATGAAGCTGAGGCAGGAGGACCACTTGAGCCCATGAGGTCAAAGCTGTAATGAGTCATATTTGTGCCACTGCACTCCAGCTTAGGTGACAGAGTGAGATCCTGTCTCAAAAAAAACAACAAAAAAGAAACTAAGAACCACAACAACAATAAAAAACCCAGTGCAAAACACGTTGAAGGCGGCATGGAGGTGTCCTATTCCCTGGCAATGCTGAATCACTTACTGTTTCCCAAAAGGTGCCAAGGCATTCCACACTCCTGTTTTTGCAGCCATGTCTGGACTACCGGGAATACCCTTTCCTGTTCCTGATTCAAGGCTTAGCTCAGGCATCCCTTTCAAATCTGTCCCCTACAGTATCAGGCAGTTAAGCATGTCTTCCTCGGCATTCACTGTCCCTTGCATCCTTCTCTGATAGAACATGAAGCTTTGTAACCAGTGTTTATTTATTGTTTTCTCTTCTTTGTTGGCTCAGTGAGAGCAGAGAGTACACCAGACAAGAGAGCTTCTTGTGGCCACAAGCCTGTATCATGTGGGGCATGAAGGCATTCGGCTGTGGGGAAAACACTAATGCAGGCTGGTTACTGCCCCCCAGGCACCCATCTGTGGAATGTCGTTTGTGTGCATTGGGCATTTGATTGTAATATAACAAATGACCACAATCTTTCTGACATCTTAGAAGAGTTTCTGAGGGCTTCAAAGCAAAATCTCAAACCAAGGGAGAGAATCCGTTTACTTCCAGTTTCATTTGAAGGATATTCTGATATTCCAGAAGTATTTTTGAAAATGAATGGATTCCATTCCAGGTATGATTGACTTTCTCGATGCCAATTGCTTATGAGACAGAAAATTTTAATTTCGCAGCTCATCTTGGTTCTTTCCATCCCTCCATTTGCTTGTCTGGCTAATGTTTTATTGGGCATCTGAACTTCAACTCCTAAATTATTTCATGCACCTGAACATGACACCAAAATCTTTAATCAGAAAATGTGTTGTAATGTGGGATTTAGAAATTTTGGAAATAAGGTCACTGTATTAACCATATGTGGCAACCCTTGCCCCCAACTTAATTTTTCCTTTCAGAAGCCCTGGGACCCCACTCATGGAGTGACCAGTAAGCTGCAAGCTCTGTCCTCTCTGTGCAGTGAGAAGGCAAAATATGGTGGGCTCTGACAAAGAAAAAGGAAGCGGGCAACAGTCACTGAGAGTTTATTACATGCTTGACACAAGGAAGGTGAGAAGAAAGCAAAGTGCTGTCCTCCAGAAACAGACTCTACCCTGATTGGAGGGAGATGGGTACAGAAAATAGAAGACAGCTCATTCCCTCTCAAGCATCTCTGAAATTCCTTCTGTAGGATAGGGGCTGAGGGAGCCCCTGAAAATATAGATGAAAAAATTCAGTCCCTGTCCTCAAAGGGCTCAAGGTCTAAGGGGCATATACACGTAACTCACCACAAAACAGGATATTTAGGTGGTGGCTATGGGTATTTGAGGTTCCCAGTGAAGCAAATCCTGGGCCCATAGAAGGTCAGGGTAGCCTTTCAGAAGGGATGATGGGAGGAACTGGGTCAATTAACTACTATTGAGACAACGGTCTGATTATACTGAGTTCTGACATAGAACAAATAGAATCAACAGCGAGTTAGAAAGAGGGAGGAGTTGGAAGCTTTACCACCCCCACTCATTCCTAGGATACATCTCAAACCAAAATGGCTCTGAGTGGAAACATAGCAACATAAAGTATTTTTGTCCTTGCCTTCTTTCCTCTTCATTTACTCAATTACTTAGTACTTAGAATCCTCAGTACTTAGAATCCTGCCTAGAACTTTTCAAGTCCTAGTTTCTAGGCAGAATTCTAAGTACTGAGGATATATAAGTGTACAAAAGGTGCACAAGATGACACTGCTTTCAAGGAGATTATTTAAAATTTTATTTTATTTTATTTTTTGAGACAAGATGTTGTTCTGTTACCCAGGCTAGAGCGCAGTGGTGTAATCATAGCTCACTGCAGCCTTGAACTACTGGGCTGAAGCCATCCTCCCACCTCAGCCTCTTGAATAGCTGGGACTATGGGCATGTGCCACCCATACTCAGCTAATTTATTATTATTTTTTTCCAGGGACAGGGTCTCATTATGTTACCCAGGCTGGTTTCAAACTCAAGTGATCCTCCTGCCTTGGCCTCCCAAAGTGTTAGGATTACAGGTGTGAGCCACTGCACCTGGCCTCAAGGAGCTTTTATTATGGTAGGGAAGCACATAAATAAGATTATACCAGATTCTGAAAATGTACACCTGATGAAGGCATAAAGTCATTGGGAAGAGCTTCTTAACACATTCTGATCAGGGAAGTCCCCTGGAAAAGGTGATATTTGAGCAGAGACTTAAAAGATAAGGACTGAGCCATATGACGAGTTGGTGGATAGAGGAGAAGAGAATCTTCTAGGCTGATAGAGTTGGGAAGTCTCCATTGAACAAATGTTCCTCCCAGCCTCAATCCACTTATGGCCCCCTTATTAAAAGGATTTGACCATTGGTCTGGACAGGCTGGGTTATGATACAATAATAGCAACTCCAAATCTCAGTGGTTTATAATGAGGGAGGTTTGTATTGCATTCACAGATCATGGAAGAGCAGATATGAGGTGCATGTGGGCATGCATTCTGTTTCGGGTGTCCTCATTCCAGGACCCAGGCTGACAGAGCAGCCAGACCTTGTGTGAAAGAGAAAAAAAAGGAAGAAAATACATGATCAGCCACACACACCAGTACTTACAACTTCTATCTAGAAGAGATCACACACATTCCCTTGGCTGAAGAGTGTTACCTGTACACCCCTAGCTGCAAGGGGGAAGTAAAGTATAATTTTACATTGTATCAAGAGAATGGAAAATTTTAGTGAACAGCACTAATGACTAGCTCACGTGGGAAAGGTAAAGAATTTGCTTTTCCTTTAGTTGACACATGAAATTAAGAATTTCAGATTTGGAAGTCTGGCATCAAACACCAAGAGATTTGGTCACAGCCTGAGTTCTCTGCACTAAGGAAGAGAGTTGGCTTCTACTGATAATGTCTGTGTCTTAGTCTGTTGGGACTTTGTATTAGTTCATTTTCACATTGCTATAAAGAACTACCTGCAACTGGGTAACTTATAAAGAAAAGAGATTCAATTGACTCACACTTCTGAAAGGCTGGGGAGGTCTCAGGAAACTTACAATCATAGCAGAAGGCAAAGGGGAAGCAAGGCACGTCTTACCTGGTGGTAGGAGAGAGGGAGGGAGAGAAGGGGGATGCACTGCACACTTACCCAGCAACCAGATCTCATGAGAACTCTATCAGGAGAACAGCGAGGGGGAAATCTTTCTCCATGACTCAGTCACCTCCCACCAGGCCACTTCCCCAACATGTGGGGATTATATTGCAACATAATATTTGGGTGGAGACAAAGAGCCAAACCATATCAGGCTTCTATAACAAAATAGCATAGACAGAGTGGCTGAACGGACAGGAATTTATTTCTTATAGTTCTGGAGGCTGGGAAGTCCAAGATCAAGGTTCTGGCACTTCCTATGTTTAGCAAGGGTCTGCTTCCTGGCTTCTAGATGGCAGCCTTCTTGCTGTGTGCTTGTGAAGGGTGAGCTCTTGTGTCTTCCTCTTCTTATAAGATAAACTAATCTCATCATGAGGGCACCACCCTCATGGCCTCATCGAAACCTAATAACCTCCCAAAGGCCCTACTCCCAAACACCATTACCCTGGCGTTTCTGCTCCAACATATGAATTTAGGGGTGAGGCACAAACGTTCAGTCTATAATAGTCCCTCCTATCATGTGGCCTTTCAGAGCCAGCTTTATTTCTGAACACTCTTTAATCACCCTGCAGTGAAGGAACTATAGACAATAAGATCTCCAAAGATCTGCCAACCAAATAAATGTACTTTAATTTCCATTACTTTAGGACCCTAGGAGCCACAGGCAGCGGACAGGTCCCAGGACCCAAAGTAACCATAAAATTGTCTGGAATTTCAAAGAAAAAAAGGATCAATGAGGAATGAAGTAAATTCACACTGAGGGATGGCTTGTCCCGAGCCTGGAGGAAGTGTTGGGAGGATGAACCGAGAGAGACAAACTTGATATTACAGATCATGCAGCTACTGTGCCCCCTCAGCAATAAAAACCACAAAAGAGAGATACTTAATCTCCCTGAATCTCAGTTCTCTAAAGCACATGCTTGAAAATGCTCAGAGACCCATCAAGAAAAGCTTCTGGGCTCCTGTGTATCCAGACTGGAGCCACAAACACAAAAAAACCCCTCAGAAGGCAACAGAGAAATCAGGACTTTGATTTTTAATGATGGTGGGAAAATGCCAGGAGAAGGATGGGCAGAAAAAGAAAGAGGAATGATTTCAAGCATCTCTAATGAAAGAGCCTGAGTGAGGTGAATGTGAAAAGAAGTGGATGAGAGACATAGAAAGCGAAGGTAATGAGGCTGTGCCAGTGCAGGTGGGGGAGAGCGAAGGCATCAAAAGAGGAGAGTATCCTGTGACGTGCAAAGGTGGGAAGTGTGTGCAAGAGGCCAGCTAGGCACAGCTCCCGCTGGCTGGCTGCTCCCTCCTTGGAGAGAAAAGAGATTGGCTCATCTCTGTTCCTTATATGGCTGGGGCCTCCAAGTGGGCCAAAGGGATAGGTGCAGGATTTGGCTAATGCCTGTCTGCTCTTCACCATTTCTCTGTATATACCAGAGAGCAAGGGTTAAGGGGAGCTGCTTCATTTTGCCTATCCAGGATCCATTTCTTCCTCTGCTGCTCACAGCACCCTGGTTTCCATCTGGGGACTCCCCTTACAATATGCTTTGCTTCCTCCCACCATTACTCCGAAGTTGGGTACATGATCCAGGTTTTGCCCATGAGATACAGGATCAACTAAATGGTTGGTTTGGGAGCTGACATGGGACCCAAACTGGACCAACCATCCCAACATTATCAACTCCAAGACTTAGCTAAAATGATGGGAGGCAGATCTTTTTTTTCTCCTAGGGCTAAGCTAAGTAGGATGTCATTCCGAAGCTCCTACTGTGTGGGGAGGGTGTGAGAATGCAGCAACAGGAAGAACCTGGGCTGAGCTGAGCTTGGGGTGTTGGGGCCCTGGATTTAGTCATGCTTGAGGCTGGACTTACCCTCGGCCATCCCTGAATTGTGGGTCCCCACATTCCTGTTGTTCCTTGAGAATGGTTGAGCTGGATTTCTTTCATGGAAAGCATCTTAATACAGTTTCCACCTCTTCTAGGGGCAAGCTCACTCTCTGCCCAGCTTTCTTCGAGTATAGTAGTTTGGTTTCTTCCTGTGGCCACAGCCCAAATCCTGATGCATGGTTTGAACCCTAGCTCTTCTATTTCCTAAATATAAGGCTTTGAGTGAGTTACTCAAATACTCTATTTCTGTTTTCTCGTCTGTAAAATAGGGACAACACTATCTCATCAGGTTGTTGGGAAAACTAAATAAGCCCATTGATGTCAATTGCTTAGAAACGTGTCTAGCACATAGTAAGCACTCAATAAGCATTAGCTAGCTGGGTGCCTTGTCTTATCCAGCCTGCTGACCCAGGAGGAGATGCAAAACAGTTGCCACCGCTAAATGGTCTCTCCCACTGAGCCTGTACTTAGAATGCTAGGGAGACACCAACTTGGCTTTCCTCCCACACCTCCTGTTACTTTTAAAGCATGCAAAGGGCAAAGTGAGTGAGTGTTGATATGTGGGCCAGGATCCCGGGGTGCAGCCAGCCATGGCCCCAGGGAGGTGGGGAGATCCACCCTGTGTTTCTGGCAGTGGAAAAGGCGTAGGCTCTGAAGGGGCAACACAGCCTGCAGGGCAGAGACTGTCAGTTAGGGGGAAGGGTTTTCTGATGCTGGGCATTGAGCAGCTTCAAAGAGGACAGAACATTGGTCCCTTCATTCTTTGAAACTTCTCTGGGAGGCCTGGGACCATTTTATTTGTGGCTCTATTGCCTGCATAGTAATTGACTTATGCACCCCTGAGAATTCACTCTTACTATGGTTTTCCACCTCTTCATCTTAATTTTTTTAAGTCTTAAATTGTCCTTATAAGAAAAAGACAGTGGTGGTGGCTCATACCTGTAATTCCAGCACTTTGGGAGGCCAAGGTGGGTAGACTGAGCCCAGGGATTGAAGTCCAGCTTGGGCAAAATGGTGAAACTCCATCTCTACTAAAGATATGAAAATAACTAGCTGGGCATGGTGGCTCACTCCTGTAGTCCCAGCTACTCAGGAAGCCAAGGTGAGAGGATCGCCTGACCCTGGGAGGTCAAGGCTGCAGTGAGCCAAGATCATGCCAATGCACTCCAATCTGGGTGACAGAGTGAGATCCTGTTTCAAGAAAGAAAAAGACAAAAGGCAAACTTTTGGAGGAGAATAAGGTAAGAAGCTGTCATCTCAAATACTCTACTTGCTTAGACTATTCCTGCAGATAAAACCATTTCTCTTTGACACATGGCAAGGTAGCCCTCCAAATGCCTAGGGTTCATTTCAATTCCCCCCATGTCAGAACACACAAGAGTCCTTTCTTTGTGGACCCTCCACTCGCCCTGTTACCATAGAAACCACTGCCTGTGTCAGCACCTCGGAGAGGGTAGGCAGGAGGCATGAGCCGCCGTCATAGCAACACGCATCTCCACAGCAAGAGCCCACGCTCCGTGCCATCTTGTCTCCGAAGAGGAGGAATGGTTGTTGGGGATACCCGAATACTTTCCCCAGGCTGGGAAGACAGAGCTCAATAAATTGACCCTTACCAGTAATTCTGGCAGCTCTGCCTGGGATGAAAGAATCAGAAAGTTCATGTTCAAAGTGTTAAGATGACCACATAGGCCAGAATCCATCTGAAGCCGTAAGACCAGCAAGTCTGCCTGCTGTTGTTGAAAGGGTTCAGGTGTTCATACTGATGTTTATGCTAACATTGTTCTCACATGACTAATACACACAGCATTGTGGTTAAGCCCAGGAACCCAGCTCTCTGGATTGGAATTCTAGCTTTGCCACTAACTGGCTGTGTCACTGTACGAGTCCATTCTCACATTGCTATAAAGACATAACTGAGACCGGGTGCTTTATAAAGAAGTGAGGTTTCTTTATAAGTTGGCTCACAGTTCCACAAGTTGTATAGGAAGCATGGCAGCATAGTTTTCTGGGGAGCCCACAGGAAACTTACAACCATGGGGGCAGGTAATGGGAAACCAGGCGTCTTACATGGGGAAGCAGGAGCAAGGCTGCGGGGAGGGTGCCACACACTCTTAAAACAACCAGCTCTCCTGATAACTCACTCTCCCTATCACGAGAACAACAGTGAGGGGATGGTGCTAACGTATTCATGAGAACTTCACCCCCACGAGCCAATCACTTCCCATCAGGGCCAACCTCCAACAATGGGGATTACAATTCGACATGAGATTTGGACAGAAATACGGATCCAAACCATATCAGTCACCTTGTGTAAGTAAAGTTTGTGTCTAAATTTTCTCATCTGTAAAATGATGATAATCATAATCGTCCCTACTTTACAGGGTTATTGTGAGAACCAAGTCACCACATGGATGAAAAGCTCTAAATCCCATCCTACAGTTACCCCCAGTAGATGTTAACTAATATGATGTTCACTAATAAGAGAAAGAGCAAATGAGGGCTAGTTTATGCCAAGCACTGTGCTAAGCACTACGCTTGCAGTGTGGGCTTTAGTCCCTGCAGTAACCCCAAGAGGAGGTGTCATTTTTCTGTACTATTGTGCAGACGCGGAGCTGGATAAAAGCACCCATAAGGGAGCAAAAATTGGCTCCTGGTGGGGTAAGGTAAATGCAAGAAAATCACCCTTTTTATGTATAAAGCATAGAGGGACATATAGTCCATAAACGCCTCTACAGTGGAGCTGCACTATTAACATTTCATGAGCAAGGTGGGGGGCGGTGGAAGGCAGTAGGAAGAAAATGTCTGCAAAGCCTTTTTAGGAAGGTGACGAAGAAAACAGGGTTGAGAAATTGGAAATCAGATGGAATGTTTGGAAAGCCAAATTGCAGGTGGATCTAAGCCCACACCCCAGCCAGGTAATCAAGGCTAGAACTTCTAAACTAGCATCCTTTCACGCACCCCAAGATCAAGACTGGCAGGGAGAACCATACCTTCCACAGTGCCCTTGGGAGAAATGAGCCCAACATCTAGGAAATTACTTCGAACTTAGAAAAAAGCCTCTTTGCAGACCCAGGGGGTGGTTGTTATTCTTGATGCTGATGGTACAGCTTCAGACTGTGCTGGAAATCAAGTCCCAAGCTCTTCTTTGGCTTGTGAAAGGACAGGAGAGCACAGGCCTGGGGTGGGGCAGAGTCTGCAGATGCTTGTGCTGCTCTCCGGGAGAAGCTGAGATCCAGCTGGTGGCACAGGTGAGTTTAGGTTGGTTAGCCCTTGGATGTCTGGGGAAAGGCTGACAAGGCTAAATCCTCCTGGAAACACTTCCCAAAGGGCTGAAAGCTTTTCCATCCCTGTCATCTTATCTGCTGACCTCTGGGCATTGAGCTTCTAATTGGAGGAAATGGTACCCTGAGGGCTGGCAGTCTGCAGCCGTGAGATGGGAAACTCCACTGGAACCTGTCATGATGGTCCCAGAATGACTTATTCCTTCCACCCCAGCCCTAGATATGTAAACAAAACAACCCAGCAACAGCAAAAATCAACCAGGAACTTACTTCTAGGCAACATTTTACAATCCGCTAAACCATTTTACATCCACCATGGCCATGAGACATCATTGCCATCGATATTATTATTATTAGGAAAGTCAGGGAAGAGTCGGCAGAACCTCAGCTCAAAACAGCCAGGGATTTTTCCCCAGAGGGACCCCGTAGCCTAGAGACTTTCAAACTGTTTTTTGATTGTGACTAAACTTGGAGATACATTTTACATTGTCAACAGGTACACACACACGTGTATATGTCAAACTAGATAAAAGTGTTCTGAAATAATACTTGTCCTTCATGTGAACGACGCTTCGATATTTTGTAAGACAGTCGAGGGTAGACTATTTTTAAGGTGCTCATGACCCACTAAAATGATTTCATGGGTCACAAGTCTAGTTTCAAACCACACCGTTAAAGACCACCAGTTATTCCCTAAAGCAGTGAGACCCAGGAGGGAAGAACCTGGATTCTAAGGTCAGACCCCATGGTTCAAGCTACAACATTAACACTAATTGTAGTGAGCCAAGTTCTTCACTTCTCTAATCCGGCCCTTACTAGCAGGATGAGAATAATGTGTGTAGTGCCTAGCCCCCAAAGACTGCTTTGAAGGTGCAGTGAAGTAACGCCTGTCAGGCATTTAGCATGTACTTGACATACAGAGAGCAGCCACTGCATGGTCATTTTCATCACTATTACTGTGGCTATTGTGATTGTGTTGCCTTTAAAGAATATAGAAGGTGGATGGGCGAGGTGGCTCACACCTGTAATCCCAGCACTTTGAAAGGCTGAGGCTGGCAGATCTCTTGAGGTCAAGAGATCAAGACCATCCTGCCCAACATGGTGAAACCCTGTCTCTACTAAAAATACCAAAATTAGCTGGGTGTGGTGATGTGCACCTGTAGTCCCAGCTTCTCGGGAGGCTGAGGCAGGAGAATCGCTTGAATCCGGTAGGTGGAGGTTGCAGTGAACCAAGATTTTGCCACTGCATTCCAGCCTGGTGATAGACCAAGACTCTCTGTGAAGAGAGAGAGAGAGAGAGAGAGAGAGAGAGAGAGAGAGAGAGAGAGAAAGAAAGAAGAATGAAAGAAAAAAGAAAAGGAAAGAGAAAGAAAAAAAGAGGGAAGGAAGGAAGGAAGGAAGGAAGGAAGGAAGGAAGGAAGGAAGGAAGGAAGGAAGGAAGGAAGGAAGGAAGGAGAATATAGAAGGTGGCATGTGCACCAAATTGTTGTCATTTGGGAGCTCAAGACTGGAAAAAGCAGAGGTAGAAACAGAGTCAGGCCCAAAGAGAGAGGAAGATGTGCCCCAGTAAAAAGCAAGAAGAAAAAGGAAACCATCCTTGGTGAAGAGGGACGGGATGAGGAGTCCCAGGGTCGATGAATAGAAGGGGTTGCTATCCCCACAGCAAGGCTGTGTGTGTGTGTGTGTGTGTGTGTGTGTGTGTGTGTGTAAGAGAGAGAGAAAGAGGAGAGAGAGCAGGGAGAGCGGTGTGTGTGTGACTGGGGAAAATACTTGGCCTCAAATCTTCACATACAAAGTGTTTTCCTTTTGTTGCAGGAGTCCGGGCTTGTTTGTGGATGGCAGCCAGCAGATGCGTTTTCTGACTGTGAGAAGGCGGTTTTCTGAACTGAGCTCAGAGCTGTCCCAGGTTCCATCTTGAGATGCAAAGAGGTTGCTGAAACCTTCAGGCAGGTTCCAGCAGTGGGGAGGGCAGGGAGGAGAGCCAGCAGAGTTTGCTTGAATGCTGTCCTTCCAAGAAGCACAAAGAGGACAATAGCTGAGCTGAAATGGCCCTTTGGCTTCTCAGATAGGGACAAAATTGAGACCCAAAAAGGGAAAGTCACTTGCTCAGGGGCATGCAGCAAGTAAGTGGCCAAGCCAAGATGAGAATCTATGTTGGCAGACTCCCAGTCTAGAATGTTCCCGGCAACATAATAAACATGGGTTAAGTACATATTGTCCATAAGAAACACTGCTAAGTATGTGTATTAACTCATTTACTCCTCGCCACAATCTGATATGTCCTATTATGATCCTTACATTCCAGAGGGAAAACGATGGCACAGAGAGGTTAAGCAACTTTCTTGAGATGGCACAGCCGGAAAATGTGCTATGTCCTTCAAGGCCAAAACAGGAGCTGTTGTCCTACCCTGTTACCCTCCCATCTCATTTGTCCATAGCTGCCTGCTCTCTCCCTGTCCCTACCAGCTTCCTAGAGAACCCACATGGTCCTCTCCTGGCCATGAGCTCAAGGAGTTTGGGCTGAAGGTCTGGAGTACGTGTAGAAGGAAGCCTGGAAGACTCTAAGCAGATGCGGTCATCCCCATTCCTCATCACTCTGTGTAAGGCCGGCCACCCGGTGACCTCAAGGCCAAGGTCGACCGGATCTGATAGGCTCAGCCACATGTGCAGCTGGGCGTAGCTCTGGGACTCCTCTGTAAGACACAACTAACAGCATCGCACCCTTCCAGAGCATTCCATTTTGAATCACGTGTCACCTAAGATGGGAAAGGTTTTTGTTTAATTTGGGTTTTCTGGGCGGCAGTTGTACTTTTTTAACTTCACCCTACCCTTTTTATAGCTGTAGATAATCTTTCTTTCTGTAGACAGGCCCAGAAATGTAACCTTATTTATGGGCCAGGCTTTGTACACAGTCATCACTCAGAGAGCAGAGACAGAGCTGTGACTCACGGGGCAGGCATGGCACCCTCGTGGGTTGTATGTTTTTCTCTGCAGAACTCATGTAGTGGAGGGTAGTGAAGGTGACACCCTCAAGAGGAGAATAGAAGATGAGATTTCAACCCAGGTACAAGGGGAGCAAAAACAGAATAAGAAGCAGTGTGTGGAGGCTGAGGACAGACCTGAGAGAGGTGTTTAATGACGTCTCACCTGCCTCAGTGTTTGACCTGCCCAGTGCAGGAGACAGAAGCAAAAGTTTCTTCGGGCCTCAGGCTCTAGAGCCAGGCACTTGAGCTCAAATCATGACAATGAACTTACTAGCCATGCCACTCAGAGCAAGTGACTTTGCTTCTCTAGGTCTCCATTTCCTCAGCTGCAAAATGAGGATATTAAAAACACACCATGAGATTATTGCAAAGATATGTAACTTGAACATGGCATGGTGCCTGGTGCACCAGGAGTATTCCCAAATATTCGGTGTTATTTGTACGCCTGTGGATGAGATTCAGAATATTGTGATGAGTGAAAGAAGCCAGACACAAAGCAGGGCGTAACATCATTGGTTTCAAGTTCTAGAAGAGGCAAAACTAGTCTATGGTAAAAGAAATCACAACAGTGGTTATCACTGAGGTCGGGGGGGGGGTCAACTAAGAAGGGGTGCAAAGGATCTCCCTGAGGTGATGGGACTCTTCTGTCTTGAAAGAGGGGTGCATACATTGAACTGTATGTTTAAGATCTTTAAATGTTACTACATATAAATTATACTCCCATTAAAAATTACCAGAAAAAAACACAATTATTATTCTATTTTTGCTTAACATTTTGTGTCCCTTGTAACACCTGTTTTTTGATTTTAAATAAACAACAGAGGGAAAAAACCCCAGAACTTTATTTCTAACAGTTCTAGAGGCTGAGAAGTCCAAGATCCAGTTTCCAGCATTTGGCATCTGGTGAGGGCCTTCTTGCTGCGTGCTCCAGAGGGGAGGAGTGCTGTGTCCTCACATGGCAGAAGGAAGAAGGGCAAGAAAGCTAGGGAGGCATAAAGCTCTTTCATAAGGGGCTTAATCTCATTCATGAGGAGACCCTCATGACCTAATCACCTCTTAAGGGTTCTACCTCTTAATATCTGTACATTGGCAATTATGTTTCAATACGTGAATTTGGAGGGGGTACATTCAAACCATAGTACACAGTGTGCTCACAGAGTATGGAACATGAAGGGAGAGGCTAGCAGGACTGTGTTGTCCTGGAGGCAATGCATCACTTTAAAGTGTGGCAATTTACAAGGTATGTGGATAAATAATGCTCACAGTTGCATCTCAGAAAAGGAATGCAGGAGCACAGAGGACTGATTGGAAGGGGAAAGATTGGGGCATGTAACAGTCCAGGGAAAATGTGGTGATGGCCTGGACTGGGTGTTTTTCTTGATTCCTATGTGGCCAACACAGCCCTCTTCTGATCACCTGGGTACGTCCCTGGCACGTATCTAATCAAACTCACACTCACATAACCAGAACAGAGTACAACTTGAATTCTCAGACTTCCTACACTGGACTCCAAGATCCAAAAAGGGAGACCTGGAGTGTGGCCCACACTCACAAATGTGTTGTCGAATGAGCATGAAGAAGTGAATGGGTGAGTGAATGCGTGTCGTACACACATGCACAGGGAAGCAGAGATCAGAGACGCAGCCAAAGAGGAAGGTGGCCTAGAGGCACATGACAGAGCAGGCCATGGTCTATGCACAGACCTGCCCTGTCCCAACAAGACCAACAGCGTCTAGCCTGTCATGGGAACCTACGCTACACATATACAAAATTCCACTTAAATTCCCTCAGAATAGGTGTATGTTTTATTTCTGATAGAAGATTGGAGAGCATCTCCTAACCACACAGTTCACTGAAGCAGAAATCAGCCCAAGGTTCATATGTAACACGTGTAACTGGGACTAGAAGATCGTACCACTATACTTGGATAATTAAAAACTTTTTTTTTTTTTTTTTGTAGAGACAGGGTCTTTCTATGTTGTCTGGGCTAGTCCCATACTTCTGGCCTCAAGTGATCCTTCTGTCTCTGTCTTTCCTTTTTAAAGACGT